TCCTGGGCTTTCCCTGTCTACATTAGCATCTCTTTTGTTGTTGTTCTTGTTCAATTTTTGTTCAGGCAGCCATATTGGTGAAACTTTATGTCTGTTGGTTCTGACATTTCTAGGAGACACAGTCCCTCGAAAACTCCCTGATCCTCTGGCTCTTACAATCTTTCCACCCCTCCTTCCATAATGTTCCCTGAGCCTTAACTGTGGTTATTTTGTAGATGTATCAGTTGTGACTGGGCTCCATAACCCTGAAATATAGTTGTGGTTTTCTGTAGTGGTCTCTATCGATTGCAAAGAGATGTTTCCTTGATTAGGGGTGGGGACTCTATTTCTCTGTGGGTACAAGGACTAATATTTAGGATGTAGTTAAGGGTTATACTGATTTAGTAAAGTTGTAAGTTCTCCAAGATCCATGACATCACTAATCCTGGGTAGCTGACTAGGTTTCCAGTACCAGGCCTGATTTCTCTCTTGTTGAGGGTGTCTGAAGCCCAATTGGCCATTGGTTATCATCAAGGTGTGTGTGCCACTTCTGTGCCTTTAGGATATATACCATGTTGTTTCTTGTTGCAGTTCATAGGTGTCATAGCTTGGTAGGACTGTTGGTTACCTCCCTTTCTTGGAAGCTTTCATGACACTTTCTGGTACTCCTCAGGGAGTAGCTCAGGGTCCTATGTCAGAAGTGTATGGCATTTTTTTGAATAGGAACTTACCTTTGACCTCTTGGGGACAAGCAAGAGCAGCAACAATAACATAATACGTTGGGAGTCTTTTGGACAACCTTGACCAAAACTCAAAGGATGGTTTGTCATGCATGGGTGCTGTGGGTTTTGTCAAGTTGTCTTTGGCTTTTGGAAGGAACACTGTGAAGCCGAGATGAGAAAATTTCGTGTAAACTATTTATTTGTACAGGTACTTACATTTATTATAGTTTTTAGGTAGATAGTTAATAGTATGATTCTTTATGACTTTTCAGACATTCTTACTGTTTTTTTTTATCTCCCTCTCTCCTCTCTACTTAGAATTCCTCTGTTTTTCCCATTCCATTGATTAGATCATTTTATTCCCCTCTCTATTGCTCTCCTCAGCTCTGACCCCCACAATGGAACTTTTTTACTTTCCTGTTTTTTTTTTTTTTAAGTTACTCCAGGATGTATATGTATGTGTGTGCGTGTGCGCACGTGTGTGCATGCGTGCGTGCGTGCGTGTGTGTGTGTGTGTGTGTATGTGTGTGTG